GCACAAAGCTACACAGAGAAACCCTGTCTCAAAAAAACCATAATAATAATAATAATAATAATAATAATAATAATAATAATAATAAATAAATAAATAAATAAATAAATAAAACAAAACAAGAACAAAAGAACTCACCCCGCTCCTCTGTCTTTTCCATCTCTCCAACACCTCTCATTCCTCCTAGTGGCATTGGGAGCTGTGGTGTGTCACACATTATACATTTTTTTTTTTTACATTATACATTTTTGTACAATCAGCCCAACCCTTAAATGTCCACTTCCATGAGTCATCAGTCTGGTTCCAGGCACACCATCATCGCTGGATCCTCACCGAAACTCCTCTCAGATTTCTTACTTACTGTTGCCCCAAGTTGTGGAGCTCCTACAGCTATCATTCAGCAGGACCAGTCCCTTCATGAGCTCCAGCAGGCCATAGATGGGGTAGATGTTGGGGTGGGCCAGCCCAAGGCCCAGGATGTGGGTCTGAGTGGTCAGTCTGAGCTGCTGGGAACACCCCACTCAGGCAAGGTGTGGAGTCAGCTCTCCTAGGTCCATGCCTCATCCATGGTGAGGTGGGACTATCTCTCCTGTCTGTTCAGAGGGGGGGGGGAGGAACAGCTTTCCCATGAGGGGTGGGACCAGTTCTTCTGCTGCAGTGTCCAGCAAGGGACAGCACCAGCTATCCCAGAGCCAGTGAAGGGTGGGCCCAGCTCAGCACAGCCCTCAGATTTCAACACACCTAGTTCCAATGCACCCTTGTGGGTAACATAGGCCGTGGACATCAACACGGACCCCAGCTGCGGCAGGACCACGGACCCAGACATGGCCCTCAGCAGCAGCTCAGGCCCAGATGTCATTGTGGCCCTGGTGGCAGCATAGACCACCCAGATCAGTACGGCCCCAGCAGCGGCACGATCCTCAGACCCTAACTGGGTCTCAGGTAGCTGACCAGACCCTGGGCATCCACACAGCCCCTGGTGGTAACAGGAGCCATGGACATCAACTCAGACTCTGGCTACTACAGGGCCACAGATCCAGCCAGACATAGCCCTCAATAGCAGCCCTGGCCTGGGCAACACTCCTGGCCCCAGGCGGCTACACAGGCCACTCAGATATGCATGGCCCCTGCAGCAGCATGGCCCTCGGACACCAACATAGCCCCAGGTGGCAGCCCAGACCCCTGGCATCGGCATGACCTTTGATTGTCTCAGAAGCCACGAACATCAACACAAACCCTGGCCCAGACATCACCATGGCCCTGGATGACAGCACAGGTCATTCAGATCAGTCTGGCCCCAGCAGCAGCATGGCCCTCAGACACCAACATGGTCTCAGATGGCTGAACCGACCCCGGGGCATTCACACAGCCCTCAGTGATAACAGAAGCCATGGGCATCAACTCAAACCCTGACTGCTGCAGGGCCAAGGACCCAGACATGGCCCTCAGCATCAGCCCTGGCCCTGACAACACCCTGGCCACCCAGATCAGCATGGCCCTGTAGGACATTTTCTTAACTAGTTATTAATAGGGGAGGGCCCAGCCCATGGTGAGTGGTACCATCCCTGGGCTGTGGTCCTGTAAGAAAGCAGGGTGAGCAAGCCATAAGGAGCAAATCAGTAAGCAGCACTCCTCCATGGCCTCTGTAACTGCTTCTGTCCACAGGATCCTGCCCTGTTGAGTTCCTGTCCTGACTTCCTTTTAGTGACAAACAGTGATATGGAAGTGAACCCTTCCCTCCCCAACTTACTTTGGTCGTGGTTTTTCATCACAGCAATAGCAACCCTAACTAGGACAATCATGAAAGTGACACATTGGTTAAAATCAATGACCTTGAGCTAATTCACCATTGTCTCCCGAAGCCACAGTCAGTGTTACCCATGGTCAAGAGGACAGGGACCAGAAGCCCCTGTCCCAACACTTGAGAGTTGTTGAAACATAGTTGAACAACTATGGAAAATCTGGTGCATTGAATTACATCCCGGGATTATTTTAAGATTCTGCCTGGGGGCTGGGGAGATGGCTCAGAGGTTAAGATCACCAGCTGCTCTTCCCGAGGTCCTGAGTTCAATTCCCAGCAACCACATGGTGGCTCACAACCAGCTATAATGAGATCTGGTGCCCTCTTCTGGCATGCAGGCATATATGCAGGCAGAACACTGTACATATAGTGAATAATTAAACCTTTAAAATAAAGATTCCGCCTGAAAGCATAAACACACACACACACACACACACACACACACACACACACACACACACCAGTGTACGCAGTTAAATAACACTTAAAAACCAATCAGTCTCCCCATGTTGTGCAAATCCCAAGGCAGCCCTTGGTGAAGGTCACCAGTTCTCACAGACCTATGTGTCAATAACCACTGCAATGAGATCATTGTTTCCTCATAAAAATACAGTGTTCTCAATCACCATTTGCAGATGTAACCTTTAAAAAAAGCCAGTGCCACCTAGGGTTTTTTTTTTTTTTTTGTATTTGTTTTTGGGGGTTTTGTTCTGGTTTGTTCTTGGTTTCATTTTGTTGTTGTTGTTGGTAGGTTTTTTGTTTGTTTGTTTGTTTGTGTGTTTATTTTTGAGTTGTTTTGTTTTGTTTTGAGATAGAGTTTTTCTGTGTATCCCTGGCTGTCCTAGAACTCTGTAGGCCAGGCTGGCCTTGAACTCAGAGATCCACCTACCTTTGCCTCCTGAGTGCTGGGATTAAAGGCATGCACCACCATCACCTAGCTTCTGGCTTGTTTTTTATCAAATATTCAGGTTGATCAAAACTGGCAATATATTTTGTGGGGTTTTTTTAAATTATGTATTGTGTGCGGGTATGTGCATATAAAAGTAGTGCTCTCAGAGGCCTAGGGCTGCAATTACAGCCTTGTGTGGGTGCTGGGATCTGAAGTGGGAAAGGGGTTCCTATGGAAAAGCAGACCATGCTCTTAACCACTGATCCACCTCTCCAGTCCCTGCTCATTGTTTTGAGAGAGTCTTACATAATCCAGCTTGGTTAGAATTTCTATTGCTGAGAAGAGGCACTGTGACCACAGCTCTTCTAAAGGAAAACATTTAATTGGGCTGCTTTACAGTTCAGAGACTCAGTCCATTGTTGTCATGGTGAGGCATGACAGCATGCAGGCAGACATGGTGCTGGAGAAGGAGCAGAGAGTTAGTTCTACATCTTGATCCACAGGCAATAGGAAGGGAACTGAAATTGGTATAGCTTGAGCATAGGAGACCTCAACGCTTGCCCCCACAGTGACACACTTCCTCCAACAAGGCCACACCCACCCCACAAAGCCATATCTCCTAATAGTGCCACTCCCTATGAGCTTATGGGGGCCAATTCCATTCAAACCACCACGCTGGGCTAGCTTTGAATTCACTGTGGAGCTGAGACCTTGCAACCCTGATCCTCCTGCCTTCACCTCCCAAGTGAAGGAATTAGAGGAGTTCACAGTTTGCTGGGCTGCAATAGATTTTTTTTTAAATCCTCTTTCCTCTCCAAATCCTGTCTTTAATTTGATTTTTGAAAAGTTAGAAGTATAATAAAATACATTAGGCTTCCCCATTAAGTACTAGCCCAGAGAGTGGCACACTGTACTAGATGGGTCAAATCCAGGCAACCGACTGTTCTTGGACATCCTGCAAGTTGAAGATGGTTTTCAAATTTTTTAATTTTTAAATGGCTGGGGAGAGGGGCACATTGGAAGAAAATTTTGTGACATGTGCAAATTATATAAAATTCAAATCTGGTGTCTATAAATAAAGCTTTATTGGAGCACAGCCATGCATATGCCTGTTACAACATCCGTGGCATCTTCTGAACGGCATGATCAAAGTGGAATATTTGTAACAGATACCATGTGTCCCACAAAGCCTAAAATACTACTCTAGGCTCCTTTCTAGGAAAAGTTTGCTGGCTCCCACAATAGCTTATTAAAATTAGCAGCAACAAAAAATCAAAATGTTGCTTGCATATTAATAGATCTATATGAGCCAAGTAACACAGTTTCGTGGAGCATACACAATGTTCAAGCAAGAATGGGAGGAATAATTACCCTGTCGTGATTTTTCTCACTCACAAAGAAGCTCAGAAACACGTGACAGACTTGAAGGAGTTGCAGCCTGGTCAGGAAGTCAGGAGAAATCACACATGAGCAGTAGTGATTTGAAAACCGTATCCAGTGTCCTCAGAGATGCTTGAAAAGGGCTTCTCCTTTATTTTCCCTCAACCGCGAATGTCTTTTCCCTGGAGTAGAAAAGGGAAGAGAGTAGACTATTGTCCACTAACTATCCGTCAGCCTCTTCCAGTTCAGCATGGCCTTCACGGAGTGACCCTGGTCCTTCTCCAAGCAAATCGTCTTTCATGGTTCCTGTCCCCTCCTATCTTGCCGGTCCTTCAGTCCATGTAGGGAAAACTTTACCTGAGCTCAGCCACACGTCCAGTGGTGGGTGGGTCCTTATGAAGGACTAATGGGTGGTACCTCCTCCTAGATCCTCCAGATGGCTCTAAACTGCTGCTGTTTGAAAGAATTATGGAACCTCTGGGATAATATCTTCCTAGAAATAGAGAGTCGCTGTATTGGGGAGAGTTGAAGTTTCCTAAACTGGTCCTGCTTCAGGTTCTCTGCTCTTGACTCTGGACACCATGTGACCAGTCAGCCTCCCCACCCCCACCCCCCACCCCACCCCCCGCTACCTCAGTGGGTTCTCCTACAATAATTGCAATGTATCTTCTTGAACTATAAATCAGAATAAGCTTTTCTTTCCTTAATTGCTTCCTGTTGGGCGTTTTGTCACCACAAAGAGAAAAGCAGCTAGCGTGGTGACGTCATCGACTCCACCTGCAGGTGGTCCCCATCAGACCCTCAATCTTTGAGTAACTGAAGAGGCCCTACATCCCCCAAGGAATTCCCCTTCTGCATTTGGGAACAATGCTGTCCATCTAGGACAGGAGAGTTTGAGTCACATCTGTTCCCTCTAGAATTGTTTGGCCCTAATCCTGTATAAATGTTCACTGTGGCAACCCCCAAGGAATAGATTCTCTTGGGAAAGTCTAATAATAGAGCTGACCCCATTTTTCCAAACGGGCAGCATTGCAGATGTTTCTCTGGGGTGACTAATGGATTATTAGGGGTAATGGATACTCTGTCTTCTGAAATCTGTATCACCTTCATTTTTCTGATGGATAGGTTTCTCATAGTAGAAAGACTCAGACTCATTGGAGGATTTAAGAATGTTTAAAATATAACTCTGGGAGTGAAGAGATGGCTCAGCGGTTAAAAGCATTGACTGCTCCTTGCAGGGGATGCAGGCTGGGTTCCCAGAACCCACATGGTAGTTCACAACTGTCTGTAACTCCAGTTCCAGAAATTCGATGCCCTCTTCTGGTATCCATGGACACTGTATGCACATAATGTAATACAGACAAATAGGCACATACACATAAATAAATACATAAACAAACGAACAAAAAATTTAAATACGACTCTGCCACTACTGATCAGACGTTCATAGATTTAGTGATAACCAAGCTCTGCCCAACTTTCTGCCACATTCAGTGACATTCTTTTGAAAAGAGATGAGTAGGCCATTTGCTCTTTCTCCCAGGGACTTGCGCACAGCCATACCCTCACCAGCATCAGAGCAGGCAAGACTCCATTCTTAGATGGGCAAAACTGTCCGAAAACTTTAAGGGTAAAGTAACTCTTCCTTAATCCCTTAGGTATTTTTAAGTGGACACCTAAGGAACAAGACATGGCCAGTGAAATGAACTGTGAACACAGCCTCAGTCATCACTGGTGACAAACAGCCCCACCCCACCCATGACACGCATTTCTTGCTAAACCAGAAGCAGCCACAACAACTGGGCTGGCTCCCCACGCCAGAAATTTGGCTTGATGACTGTAATTAGAGCCCTAGATAAAAATCAGTATATTCTACGTATGTTCTTCTGTGTATAACACTTTTAAAATGACAGAAATCATACATGCGGAAAACAAGGGCTGAGGCTGTAGCCCAGTGGAACGCTTGCCTCGCATGCACAAAGCCATAGGTTCAATTCCCAGCACCACATAAATCATGCTCGGCGGCACTTGCCTGTGGAATCATCAATTGAGTGGCAGTAACAGAAACACTGGGAGTTTGAGATCGATCACCAGCTGCTGAAGGTTGAGCGTGGTTGTGGAGACGACTCTAAAAGGGTCTGAAGAACCTTTCCCTTGGCCTTTATCATTTTAACTGTCCAGTAGATACAGCCGAGAGTCTCCTGACAATGGGGCCTCCACTGAATGATTGCTCAGATTAAACCGGCCTGTGGGCATGTCTGTGGGGGATTGTCTGGATTTCTTTTTAATCCAGAAATGGACCAGCCCACTGTGGGCAGCACCATTCCCTGGGCAGGTGGTCCTGAGTAATATAAGAAAGCTAGTTAAACACGAACCTGTGAGTGAGCCAGCAAGCAGTATTTTCTCCATAGTTTCTATGTCAGGTGCCTACTTGAATGCTTGCCTTGACTTGAAGAAAGATCAAGGGAAGAGAGAAGAGGGAGAATTTCAAGGGCCGGCCACCTAGCTATACAGCAAGCCATAGAGAAAGAAACAAAGAAAGGAATACAGGGACAGAAAAGGAAAAGCCCAGAGGCCAAAGATTAATGGGATACTGCTGGTTAAGAAAAGCTGGCAAGGCCTGGCGGTGGTGGTGCACACCTTTAATCCCAGCTCTCGGGAGGCAAAGCCAGGTAGATCTCTGTGAGTTCGAGGCCAGCCTGGTCTACAGAGCAAGATCTAGGATAGGCACCAAAACTACACAGAGAAACCCTGTCTCAAAAAAACCAAAAAGAAAAAAGAAAAGTTGGCAAGAAACAAGCCAAGCTAGCTGGGCATTTATAAGTAAGAATAAGCCTCTATGTGTGATTATTTGGGAACTGGGTCATGAGTCCCCCCAAAGGGCAAAAATACCAACAACATCATGCAATGACCTTTCAGGGCCTCCATGCAGGGACTCCCTTCTGCCATATGACTGGCCTCTGTAGCTTTTTTTATTTGTTTGGGGGCTGGCCGGCCAAAGAAAATCTGACAAGAAAGACTCGCTACGCCTAATCCTTCCCAAACAGTCCCACTAACTAATGAAGACCAAGCATTCATCCATGAGTCTGTGGGGTGGGGCATTCTCATTTAAACCACCACACTACTCAACATCCGAGGTTGGCCTTGTATCTTAGCTCCATAGCAACCACCTGTCAGATGTGGGGAAGGGAGGGAGGGAGGAAAGAAGGAAGGAAAACTGGGTAAGCAACAATAAAGAGGTTTGCTTTGCTTCACGGTCTGAGAGGTCTGGGGCTATGTTGTTTGAGTCTGTTGCATTGGGCCGGCATGGCACACTACATCATGATAAGAACACATGTTAAGGAACTAGTTATCCCAGGCAACCAGGACACAGAGACACAGGAAGAGCTCAGGTCCCAATATCCTCTTTGAGGGCATGATCTAACTCCCTTCCATTAGGCCCCTCCTACTGATCAGTTCACTGCCTGCTCTAATGCCACAGATTAGGAGCAAAGCCTTCAACACAGGGTCTTTCAGAAATATTCCAGATCCAACGTGTAATTCATCTACTTACATTAGCCTTCAGATGAGCCAAGTCCTTCCACACAAAGCCCCGCTTCAAGTCAAGAACTGAACTTCTCACCAAACTTCTAGAACACTCTGCAGGAAGAGGAAAGCTAGATGGTTTCGTGGGAAAGCCTTTTATATCACAGTGAGGTCAAGAAGTGGTGTTTGATTTTAGCTATCAAGTTGGGGCTCATTTAAATGTGTGTGGCATCACACACTCTGAAGAAAGACTCCGAGGCCAAGGAAGCAGGAGTAATAAAGAGGTGGCTGGTTTAAAAACAACGTATGTAACACTTCCTGCCTTTTTATGAAGGGGGAAAAAAAAACAGTATCTGAGTGCTCCTAACCAGATACATTCCAACATGAAGCAAGAAGATAAACATGGCGCGCTTCTAGATTCCCATTTATGAGATGCTGGGCCTTGTGCTGGAATCCATTATTTCACTGAGTGTTGAAAACACAGCTTCGAGGTATTTAGTGCAACACAGAGCGTTTGCCAAGCACTTTGAAAGACCTCGGTTCAGTTGGAGCACTGCAAGGGTGGGACTGTGGTCCTCGTGAGGAGAGAGTGCTCAGCAGGCTAACTGTAGAAAACCATTTCAACTCATGAATGTGTGTGTGCATGCGTACACACATTGTCTGTCTGTCTGGGTGGATGAGTGGGTGGGTCGCTTTAATTTTGAACCTAGAAAAGATCCTTTCACAGGCTGGAGAGATGGCACAGTGGCTAAGAGCACACACTGCTCTTGCAGAGGATCCAAGTTCAGTTTTCAGCATCCACATGGCAGCTCACAACTGCCTTTGATTCCAGGGCCCTCACCCTCCCGCCTTCCTCCCCACTTCTTGGTCTCTGTCTCTCTGTCTCTGTCTGTCTGTCTCTGTCTCAGTCTCTCTATCTCTCTATCTATCTCTCTCTCTCTCACACACACACACACCACCTCTTTTAAAAGAAAAATAGTGGGGGCGGGGGTGGTGGTGGTGGTGGTGGTACGTACCTTTAATCCCAGCACTCGGGAGGCAGAGGCAGGCAGATCTCTGTGAGTTCGAGGCCAGCCTTGGCTACAGAGCGAGATCCAGGACAGACACCAAAACTACGCAGAGAAACCCTGTCTCGAAAAACCTAAATAAATAAATAAACAAACAAATAATAAGAAAAATAAATATTAAAAAATAAAGGATCCCCTCTCAATTGTCTTTAGTACCTTCGCTCATTGTAGGCCAGGAGCGGTAGTAACAGCGGTGCCCAACAGTGAAGACACAAAAGTCAAGACTCGCAGACGGCAACAGCCGAGGAGTGACCAAAGGTCAACAGAGCCAGTGGTTTGAAGATCTACTGCTTGAGGAATGTGGACTGGCCATGTAGGTGTCCAAAGACAAGGCAGAATTTCATTTCCACAGATATCCCAGGACTGGTTGTCTGTGACTGATTATAGGAAAGAAATGGCTGAATATATCTCAGCCCACCCCACCCAGTGTTCCTTTCTGTAATAAATCTCTTGTAATGCGCCCTTCCTAAACTTAAATCAATATGCTGTCTAACATAATTTTTAGAATCAGAAAGAATGTGAAGCATACAAAATAATACACATTTGGGCATGTGGATGTTGGGACACAGTTACATGACAAAACATACAGTGTTAAATGCATGCACAGCCATGTTGCTTGATTTCGAGGCCGTCATTAGCACAGACTGGTGCCTTCGTATTTCATGATGACTCAAACAGCAGGCGTGGGACTCAGTGTGGTTTGGCAACTTTCCCATCAGCTGTCAACAAAACAAAGGCCAAACACTGTCTGCTTCCACTCACCTGAAATACCGAGAACACACAAGCTCCCGGAGACCGAAAGTAGATCAGAGGAAACCCTGGCTAGAGAAGGCGGCATGGGAGTTCCTGCTTCCTGGCTACACCAGCTCGGTTTGGAGCCATGGAAAAGATTTGGAAATTGGCAGGGACGATGGTTGCACAACATTCTGAATGCAATGAAAGCCACTGATGTTGTTCACTTAGAAATGTTTCAAATGGTGCCTGGGATATTGTATGTATAGATTTTTTGTTGCAGTAAAAACTACATCTGGCCATGATGGTGAATGCAATCCCTGTTCTTGGGAAGAGACTGGAGGCAGAAGGATTACAAATTCAAGGTCAGCATGGGGCCCATAGCAAGAGCCCGAGGAAAAGAAGGAAAGAAGGATCTTAAAGAAACAAAAAACAAAAGAAAAAAAAAACTCGTTGTAAATAAAATGGAGCACACAGCAAGAGTCTGTAGCAGAAGAAAGGGAAGGGGAAAAATGGTGGGAAGAAAAGAAAAGAAGAGAGACTTGCAAAAACTTTATTTTTATACATAGAAGAAAGCTGGTCCTAGCTCTGAGAATTAATGCAACGCATTCACCTGCATGAACTTCCAACGGGACATCTGAAAGCTTGCTAAGACAATCCCTTGTGGCCCAGGACTACCTTACAGGATGCCCAGCATGGCGGGCCAGCGCCACCAAATGCCAATAAGGCTCCCCTTTATTGTGACAAAAATGCCCAGGTTCCAATTGCCTGCAGGAAAGCAGCTCCGCCCCTCTTGAGATTCAAGGAGGCAGGAAGTGAAGAGAGCCTAGGAGGCGCCTGGGTTCTGGCCAAGGGCGTGCCTGAAGTCCTGGGGGAGCACGGAGACAGAAGGCTCGGCAAAAAAGAATCAGCAGAAATCTCGATCTCTGGTAAACGGATCCAGCTGGAGGATGGGGAATTGGGGGAGAGGGAGAGAACGCGTGAACTACGCGGTGAGGTTCCATCCAGTTTTGATCCCTAACGCAATCTCCCCGTTTCACAGTCGCAAAACTCATTGCGCTCCCCTGCCAGACAGCGGAGCTAGAGAGCCTCGTACAGGTCCCGGTCCTCTGGTTCAGGTTTGAGGCAGGGCTGACTCAGCCCTCCACAGATGACACAGCAGGGCTGCCGACTGTGACCTGCTAGCAACAGCTGCATTTATTGAATACTTAGCTAATTCTTTCCTTTTTTTTCTCATATAACTTTAACGACCTATTACAGGTAGGGCGTTGGAAGGTTCAGACAGCTACAAGCTCAGTCAGAAATCACTATGATAAGGCAGGGCGATGTCACCAGCTCCTAACTAAGAAACTGAAATCTCTGGCGACCTTCTAAGTGTCCCTGGGCACACCGTCCAGTGGGGTTGCCACAGGCTCCTCTTCCTGCGGTCTGCCGGGGGGGGGGGGGACGACTACTGCTGGCGGCCAATCACAGTCAATCACGCAGTGGCTCCGCCCACTTCCTGGCCAATCACTGCACTGCCCTCTCGCTCCTTCCCTGCTGCAAGACCGATACTGGCGCGCTTAGCCCGCCATCTCAAGGATTTAAGGACTTGGGTAGTGACTTCCACAGGAAGAAGGTTCGGCGTTGGTGGATCTAAAGCTGGTATTGTTAGAAAAAAATGTGGTTGGCTAATATGCTGGCTTCTTTATCTCCTGAGGCTCTGCGCTCATCATAGCACAGGCCCAAAAGCAGGATTCAAAGACCCTGTTGCCGCCGCTTCTAACCTCTTTGGAGGTGGGAGCCAAAGTCCACCTGGTGTCGGTGTCTGATGAAACTTTCAACCACTTCCCTGCTACCTCCACGCCTCCTAGCACTTCCAGGACTGGTTTTCTGGTAGCTGCTAAGTCATCTTCGTGCCATAAAGCCATGTATTAGATTTCCGGTCGGCAGGGGCCAAGTCTTCCCAGCCCTTGGAACCTGAGCCCTGTCTGGACTGTAATTAATGCGATGTGGAGTCCCCTGTACTAATGATCGGAGGGCAACTGTTCACCACCAACACACACACACACACACACACACACACACACACAGACACACACACACACACGGTTTCACAGCATCTCACTGGATCTAGACCTCATATTGCCCTTGTTAGCCCGGTTCTACAGATAAATGGAAATAAGTCACGTGCCTGGAATGCAGCAGAACTACTCTGACCAAATACCTAACTAAAGCAACATAAGAGAGAAAGGTCTTGTTTGGGCTCACAGTTTAAGGGGAGGTCAAGCGTGGTGGGGAAGGCGCAGCCGCAGGACCGTGAGGCAGTGGTCATCTCGTTGTCACAGGAAGCAATGCACACTAGTACTTACATCGCTTCTTTCTCCTTTTTCAGGTATGAATCGCATCTCCAGGCGGGAGGACTGATTGGCAGGCCTAGAGAACTGAGGGACCAAAGGGAAACACTAAGTAACGCCAAAACCATATCTGCAGGGCAACTTCTAACCCAGGGCAAGAGAGCAAAGATCTTTGGACTAGGGGGCAGAGGGGGAAGAGCAGAAGCTTGGAGGCTTCCAAAAGACTGGAAACTTGGAAGAGGGGCTTTATGAATGAATTGTGCCCCCCCCCAAAAAAAAGGTAAGTAGATGTCTTTTTAAAAGATATGTGTTTCTATTTCATGCGTATGAGTATTTTGCCTGAGTGTATGCAGACCTCTTGCATGCAGCGCCTTCACAGGCCAGAAGAGGGCATCAGATCTCCGGGAACTGGAATTTGCCTGCTGGGAACTGAACCCAGGTCCACATACTAAGGCTGTCTGGCCAGCTGGCTCTGGGGATTCCTTGTCTCTTGCTCCCACGGGTGATGGGGAAACCACTGAACCATCCTCCCCAGTCGCACACTGCTATTTTAAGCCACCAAACTTTTGATGCCTTTTTGTGGTAGCCAAGAGGTCAGTGCCCAGGCGTCTGGGGAAGCCAGTGTGTCTCAGGAGACACCATGAGGCTGGGTCTGGGAGTATGGGAACAGCCGCCATCCAATGGCAGGTAGATGGAATATTACTGCTTGCATGAACTCTACCATGGCAGTGAGGAAAACAGATTGCTCTTGTCCTAATTAGGGTTACTATTGCTGTGATGAAACAGCAAAACCAAAAACAACTTGGAGAGGAGAGGATTTATTTGGTTTCAGCTTTCATGTCACAGTTCATCATCAAAGGAAATCAGGGCGAGAACTCAGGCAGGGCAGGAATCCGGAGGCAGGAGCTGATGCAGAGGCTGTGGAGGAGTGCTGCTTACCGGCTTGCTCCCCGTGGCTTGCTCAGCCTGCTTTGTTAGAGAACCTAGGGCCACCAGCCCGGGGATGGCACCACTCACAATGGGCTGGGCCCTCCCATATCAATTATTAATTTTAAAAGTTCCTCACAGGCTTGCCCACAGCCCAGTCTTAGGGAGGCATTTTCTTAATTGAGGTTCCCTCCTCTCAGATGACTCTAGCTTGTGTCAGGTTGACATAAAACTTGTGTCCAGTTGACATAAAACCAGCCAACACAACTCTTCTCTTTTTCCAGCCTCTCAACCTCTTTTTTTTTTTTTTTTTTGTCTGTTTCATGGCTAATGTCTGCATGGGGGCGGGGGGTGTCTGAGAAAAGAATGCTGACCAAATAAGTTCATCCACAGGTGGGTGGGGAGCTGAGGGGCGGAGCCGTGAGTTACAGAAATGAAGTACGTGACCTTGAATGACAGAAATGTCATCTTCGTCTCTACTCTGTCAAATCCAGCATCTCCTTTTATGTATCTCGGCAGAAAGAGAAGTAAATTAAGCCCAGCAGTCTTTGCTATCCCATGATGACGTTTCTAAGCTCTTACAGTTGCTGCAGATGTCCTAAATTGTACACGGACCATCATTACTTTAAATATAGCCTGCGTTAGACGGCTGTGACATCCGGTCATTTAACATGCTGATAGCAAAGGAGACATCTGACTAATTCGGTCTGTGCTTCAACCACCTTTTCATGCGTGGCTTTCTTTTGTAATTCTATTCTTAATTGTATTCTCGTTTGGGAGAGAGGTCAAAGATTTTGCTCAAGCGGACAGAAGGGTTCATTCCCCCAAGGAAGCTGTGAACTAACCCATGAGGAGAAGCAGTTGAAATGGCCTGGTGCACAGCTGTTCCTTGATAGCCATGGGTCCCATCGGTTCCATGATCCCCAAAGATGCCAAACTATAGGTGTTCAAGTCCCCGCCCCATTAAAATTTATTTTTAAATATATATATTTTTAAATATATATATTATTTATTTCTCTGTGTATGTGTGCCATATGTAGTGCAGGTGACTGTTCAGATCAGAAGAGGGCATCGGATCCCTTGGTTCTAGAGTTGCAGGTGGTTGTGAGCTACTAACATGGGGTTCTGGGAGCCAAACCTAGACCTCTACAGGAAGTACTCATAAATGATGAACCATCTCTCCAGCCCCAGATGCCCTAGCCTTTATGTTTAAAAAAAAAGCTATCCAACTACACACATTTTGTTGATAAATCATGTCTAAATGACTAATAAGATCTAATACAATGTAAATGATATATGGAAATAGTTGTTATACTGGATCACTTAGGAAATTATAACAAAGAAAATATTTGTACCTATTAGTTGGTTAGAATCTCCTAGTGTCCTGTATCTCTTTTGGCCTTGCTTGTTTTATTTTGTTGTTTTTTTTGAAACACAATCTTACCTAGAAACTTAACACATTCATTAGATTTTTTTTATTATTTTTTTTTTACGTGCATTGGTGTTTTGTCATGGGTGTTGGGTCTCCTGGAACTGGAGTTACAGTTGTAAGCTGCCATGTGGGTGCTGGGAATTGAGCCCAGGTCCTCTGGAAGAGCAGTCAGTGCTCTTAACCACTGAGATATCTCTCCAGCCCCCCATTAGATTAAAAAAAAAAAAAGGCTCCTGACTGGCTCAGAGGTTAAAAGCACTGGCTGCTCTTCCAGAGAACCTGAGTTCAATTTCCAGCAACTATGTGGTAGTTCACAACCATCTGTAATGAGATCTGGTGCCCTCTTCTGGCCTGCAGACATGCCAGCACAACACTGTGTTTTTATATATATATATATATGATATATATATATATATATATATATCATATATATATATCATATATATATATATCTTAAACAAACAAAAAGTTTTTTTTGTTTTGTTTTTGGTTTGGTTTGGCTTTGGTTTTTCGAGACAGGGTTTCTCTGTGTAGCTTTGCGCCTTTCCTGGAACTCACTTGGTAGCCCAGGCTGGCCTCGAACTCACAGAGATCCACCTGCCTCTGCCTCCCGAGTGCTGAGATTAAAGGGCTGGAGGGATAGCTCAGCCGTTAAAGGCTAGGCTCACAACCAAACAAAAAATGTTTAAAGGCTCCTGACTTAAGTTGTAAGAGGTAAAATGCTGACTGCCCACCAACCTCCTCACTTTCCATTGCTGCTGGAGATATGCTTCATTTCAGGCACAATTTAATCTCAAAACCATCTTTCAACCCACTCTTTGTGTGTGTGTGTGACTCATTCTTTTATTTATTTTTTTAGAAGCATAACTATTTATTTGTAACAAAGGAGTTTGTGTACAGCGTTGAAAATCTACAACTTCTTGTTAAATTCACATTGCACTTCTCCTTTTTAAACAAACATTAATAATAAATATTTTATAAAGAAATAGATATATAAATACAATATGGAGTTCAGTGATCCTTCAGCATTTTCCACTTCAATGGTTTTTTTTTTTTTTT